GCACAAATAACCACATTAAAGAATATCAACAATCAAACCATTAAGACATACAAAGCCTCAAATAAATTATAGTCGCCTAATTACCAATCCATCTAGACCCAAATTGCACGTTGGGTCACCCAATCCAAAGTTTTTTAATAAGTTTTAAGTTATTTGTACAACACCATTTTTGTATAGGTAATCTTCCAAAATACATTCTACATATTGAAGGACACCTCCAAAATTTTGGGAGGGACACTATAGCGAGACTACGATAAAAAAAAGGTAACCTACATTTTCTTGGTGGCCCATGTTGAATCCGCTTTATGGCTCATCATGTGGGAGTAACTAGCAGAGCACTAACAACATTTTTCCGCTTGCAAAGTTTGAACCTTGGACATCCTATATTGAATTTCGTATCTCAGTCGTTAGGTTCCCATCACGGGGCATGAGGTGAGGCTACGATATGTAATATGCCATTTGGAATGAAATGTATCCATTTTACTTATAAGGGGATACAAACCATATTCATAGTTCACATGTGATGTAAGAGAAAAGAGTTAAGTTGGAATAAGGTGATTCTAATGAGAGGTTGTGTAACATCCGTTAAAGGTATGTATCATAATATTGTTCGTTTTGGCCACTCGACAGAAAACTTCTCAGGGGTCATCTATCATGAAATTGCTCTCGTTCGTACACACTTAATTGTATAGTTCTTATGAGATTTGTTGCCCTCACAGCTTTAAACTGCGTTGTGTTAGAGAAGGTATATGCACCCTTTATAATACAATGCTCAACTCTCTTTCATAGCCAATATGGGATCAGATGCATGTACCCACCCACCTTATAAATCAATGTTTAGTTTTCATTCTCAGCCGATATGAGATCAGGTGGGTGGCTAGCTATACCTGATCCTAAATCAGATGGGAAGGAGAACTAAACACTTTCTTATAAGAGGTGTGAATACCTTCCATACTACAACATGTTTAAAGACGTAAATGCAACATATCCTATAAGAACTTTGTAGTTAAGGGTGCCCGAACACAAACAATTTTAGGATGGGTGATTCTTGGGTAGTTTTTGTTTTGGGATGCTTAAAACGGATAATATTGTGGTACGTGCCTTTAAGGGATGTTATAGAATAGTCAGGGCATAATATCATATATGAATTACAATATGCTCGTAACGACGACTACAAAGAATCTTCAATGACAATGATTTCTTAATTCTTATGGGATCATCTATTAGAATAGTATCACAACACTAATTTGTGATCGCCAATAAATATTTTAGTCATAATGACTGTTTACGACATGATCCTAGAGGCATATGTGATACAGATACATTATAATCATCAAAATTTATATGGGAGTTCATTTTCTAATAAGTGGTAGAGAGGCTTGAGTTTTTCTCTCTCTCCCCCCAAAGTGTTTTATTTGTCTGTTATTAGACTTACACACCAAATTGAAAAAGACTAACTAACATTTGTCAGCAAATATGTAATTTAAATTCAAAGATTAAACCAAACAAATTGAAAAAGACTAAGGGGGTGTTTGATGCACCTTTTGATTGGGTCGAATGCTTGGACTCGGTCAGAAATCTCCGGTCTGCGTGTTTGTTTTTCTGTTGCACCTTTGGACTCGGTCCAAAATGCTGACACAGTCCCCATTTTTGTGCTAATTCGGTCCAAAGAAAAAACATGGTTGACTGGGGCGGAATGAAGAAAAAAACACGCTTTGCCCTCTACCAGCTGCACTCCTTCACTTCTCCTTGACGACACATGTTCAACCCCGTAAGGCCTGAAATCGACTTTATTACTGAAAACCAAAACCGAAATTGATTTCATTATTGAAAACAAAATTGAAATAGATTTCATTATTGAATCGGTCGACTATTATTATTATTTTTTGAAACGGCAAATCTAACCTACTCCTAAACTACACCTTAAATCCACCTATGTCCACGACGGGACTTGAACCCTCAACCTCAAGGAGGGAGGGCAACACCAGATAATCTGACCATATATAAAGACTTAGAGGATGATGGGTATGGTTCAGAAGGGGTTTTGGTGGGTAAATTAGGGGAAGTGGATGAATCAAAGAAAGTATGATAAAAGATGGAGTTTGTTTGCCTTTTAAAATCGGGATGGAGAAAAGAGATGGAGAAGATGTTGTGCTTTCTTGAAATGTTGTGAGAAGAAAATAACGGAGGCAGTGGTTTGTAAGGGAAGATAAAGAAAAAGCTTCCTCTTCTTCGTTTATATGATGTAACCAAACGACCATTTATTTAGTTTGTATATGAAAAACAATAAGTAATAAAAAAAATAGTTTAATATTCATTAAATGGGAAAATCAAAATTAAAATACCACACTTATAATGTTTAATTATTCAACATTGAATAAAGTATAAAAACCAAAAATTAAAAAGTAGGCAACATAAGGGTACTATGATCATTTTTTATTATTCACACAGTCAGTTAGAGAAATAATCAAACAACATAAATTCAATCAGATGTAGACTCAATCATAACTTTTAACCCAATCAGCTTCCAACTCAGTCAACTCTAACCCAGTTAGCAACTATCAAACGACCCCTAACTTAAAAACTATTGAAGTCTACAATCGTTCAAAAAAAAATCAAGATAAAGGCTATTAAGTTTGAAAAAAACCTAAAAGACGTCACACAAGGCTGCCTTCCATCGTTGGCAGCCCTTCTGCTTCCGTACTTTGCCACCAACAACGTCCTTGCCAATGCTGATCAGAAAAATAATCGTTGCTGCATATCCTTTATGTTTCAAGGGATATCTCGTATGAACATTAGGGGTGTTGGTCAGCGTTTTTTGGGGTAATAGAGGGGAGGTATGACTTGGTGTGTGGGATCTATGAAGGCTTTTAGGATCACATAGGTGAATATGTCATACACAAAGAACTACATATGAATCATAGATGTCTCTAAACTTTTTATCAGAGTGTTCTTTATCTTGGAATGCAAATTCGAGTTGGGAGGAAGCAATCAGAAAGAATCTCGTTGTCTACTATGAAGATAGATGAAACCAAAACCAAAGACATCTTTTGCTTGGAGAAAACTAGGACACTAACATTATTTGATCGATTCGTGAATTAAGTTACTGATATAAGTGAGAGACAAGTCACGTATGAGAACACCTCATTATCGATTATCCCACGTAGAATGTCGTAAGCAAAACCTGAAGAAATCGGTCATAAGGACCGAATGTGTACAAAAACATTAAGGACTAAATGTGTACAAACGGAAAATTATATGACCCTAGTTAGTCAATTTTTTTTGTTTAACTTGGAGTTGCCGACTATAAAAATTGAATGTGTATAAACAACAAGTTAAATGATCAAGTGTGGACACAAAAATTCAGTAACTAAATATATACAAAACGAATAGTATCTTACCCTTATAAGTCATTTTCCCTTTCAACAATTCACATTGTCGTCGTACATATTGTACACATTTTTGCATTTCTTCCGGCATTAGAAACGAGAATGGGGCGGCAGTAGTGGAGGAAACAAGTGGTGGCGGATACATATTGCCATCGATGAAACTTTTGGAGGCAATACTAGTAGGATTAGAACCCTATGGAAGAGAGGCAGTAGACCGTTGGGACGGTAGTGTGTAGGCCTTATCTATATAAATGACATTTAAGTCATTTCACATTAGACTTGAGAGACTTGTGCCATGTTTTGTATCATGCCACATCAACTTTTTGGCAACCGTTTCATTGTCATATCATTTTTGCCACACAATATACATAACATGCCATTGTGATGGGGTAGGTCAAATTTGGAAAAAAAGTCATTTACACTCACACTCTCTCTCCTCTCTCATTGGCATTCAAATGTTGTTTAATATTGAAGAGCTGGACATGCCATAATGGGGGAGGGGTGGTGTACGCCGAGTTTGCCATCTTTATGCCACCATCATTGCGGAGCTATTCCCTTGAACCTTAATGTGAACTAATATCGAAATAATTCGGGTATTGAGTGCAAACTCTTGGCTGTCCCAATACCATTTCTATAGTTAATCTTAATTTTACTTGCATAAGAAATTCATAATGATGCATCGGAGCTTGAAAATTGATCTGAAAAAGTATGTCAAAATACAAAAGTAAAGTGAGATTTTCAGTCGAAAACTAAAACTCGAGAGTAACTTATGCAAACCTGGAAATATTGATCAATTATCGGTATTAATTATCAAAACTTATTTTTATTAAAAAAATATATGTTTAAGAAAATAAGTGAAGTTGCAATACGACACTATCATTTTTAAACTAGGTTTTTGGACTTTTTAGAGACTTAAATTTTATATCTAAGCCAAATGCATAAATAACACAAGGTATTAGTTATCAAAACTGATTTTTATTGAGAAACACGTGTTTAAGAAAATAAACAAAGTTGCAATGCGATACTTTATCATTTATAAACTAGGTTCATATACTTTTTAGTTACTCAATCTTTATATATAAGCCAAATACATTAAGAACATAAGTTTTTTTTATTTTTTTTAATGTATAAAACATGGTGCGAGGCGTGACCTAGCCGTTACAAAAATGTCAAATGTGGGTTTGTTAAGCGTAACACCCAAATAACGTGTCAAGGCGCACCTTATTGCGTTATGACGTGAGTTTTTTTTCAAGGCGCGAGTTTTTTTTTTGTTTTTTCTTATCAGCGCTAAAATAATTGAGTTTTTGTTAACTTTTTGATACTAAATATTAATATAACACGTCTAAAAACTTGATATATTTGATAAAATTCAATAATTATATGATTTATTTTTTTTAATTTATATAAAAGTCACGCCTTGAAAAATGTTATGACTTAACTTTGACCTTGCCGCCAAGCCCACGCCTCACGTTATTTAGAACATTGGTATAAACTAATTATTTGGATTTTTTAACAACTCAATCTTTATATATTATATGTCTAATTAAAAACTCTGTTGTAATTAAGTTTAAATTTGATTACAGATATTATTTACCAACTATTAACAAAAAAATGAGTGACTTGATCGTTAAATGGTATGTGGTTATATGTATATCTAAAATGGTAAACATTATCATCGAGCCCACGTCGAACCTGTCCTAGTGCCAATTACGTGGGAGGTCAATCACAAAGAAGTGGCAATATTTTATGCATGCCATGTTTTTAACCATAGACTATTTGTATATGATTTAATACCTAAATCACTTTGTTTCCATTACAGGAGTACATATATATGTATGTATGTAGATGCATATGTAAGGGTACTTTGTAGGACACAAATGAAAAACCAAACCGAAACAACGAAAAATGTCATACTATATAATAAGGAAAATGAGCTGCATCATCTTCAAAGAATAAGGAAAAAGAAACCACATCAAACAACTAGGGTTTTTTTTGAGAAATATTTGGTTAACATCTTGCACTACGAAAAAAAAAAAGTTGGATTCAAGACGCCAACAACAAAAAATACTCCAGAAGCAACAAACAGGTGTTGCATGATGTGCATGTTTTGAAAATGTCAATAGATGGCCTCGAACACGAAGACTCGAGGCGTTGTTGCGTTGAAAAGACAAAATCAAAGAAAAATATAAAAATAATAACTAATTATTTAGGTTGTTATTAATGTAATATGTTTTTAGTTTTATCTATGTAATGTTTTGAATTTCTATTTATTTAATGTTTGTGTTATAGTGTTAACTGTACATCCCATAGTATTATTACATTTCTTAGAAAAACATGATTTTAAATCAACACTTTTAGATTTTTTTTAGAAGGAAATAATTTTTAACATCTCTACAAATTTCAAAATATTATCTTGATATGATATTTTTAAATATCTAGATTTATCTTCTAAATTTAAAATATATGTTTATCTTTTTCCAAATTTAAAAAATATATTTATATCTACTATTTAATACTACTCTTTTAGTAGACTTTATAATACACAGTATCTTAACTAGTTTTGCAATGTACACCTAACCCCCAAAATTCCATATTAACGCAACACGGCAGCAGCATCTTCTGCACTTTCGCGGTATTTCAAAGCCTGGCTTTCCACGATTCGTTGCCTTGTTCCATCGCGTCTTGCACTCTTGCTCGTTAAGAAAACCCTAATTCTTCTTCAAATTCATATTTTCTTGAACGATTCATATTAAAAGAAGTTTTATAAACCTTAGGTAGACGAAAAAGTCTGTTAACTCTGTTTTTAGTTGAAGAATTTTTATACGATCGGTTGCGGATTTTGAGGTATGAAGTCTTTGTTCCTCTTCTTTGCTCATTTTCATGTTTCTAGGAAAGTAATGGCGTGAAAATTCAATGAATTTTGTGCAAGTTTTTGGCTTTAACGAGTAGAATGCAAAAAAAAAAAAAAAAGTTGAAGCCAAATAGGTGTAGCGTGAGTTGATCACTGCTTAGCATCCTGAAACTTTAATTAGTAGCATTGTTATAATTTAGGTGTGTAATTATCTAATTGTTTGTAGTTGTACACTTGTACTTCTAATTTCATGATTATTATATTGGAATCGTTTCCCAGCAACCGTTGGTACATTAATACATGTCGCCTTTTTAGATCTGGTTGACGATTTTTAGGGTTTGGAGGGTCGATATGAATTGTTTAGGGTCATAGAGACAACATAGTTTGTGGGTTTGATAACTAATTTGAAACCAAAAGTGCAATTGTGAAGGAGTATTTCCTTGATCATGTATGAAGATTCTTGGTAACAATCTTGTTTTGTTGATAAGGATGGTTGATAAATTTGGATTTTGTTTTTGTTTGGCAGGCTGCAATATGGGTATCCATGTGGGGTCAAGTTCAGGTTTATCAACATCGGATCCAGAGGACGAGTATGTACGCAGCATAGCGTTATTTGCAACCCTTTTATGTGCTTGTATAGTGGTTGGTCATCTTCTTGAAAAAACCCGGTGGATCAATCAGTCAGTCACAGCCCTTTTGATTGTGAGTGAGTCATCGTGCTTCAACCACAAGGCACAAACTACCTTTTGCTTTTGATTTATTTTCAATTTCACATCAACGTACTATTATTTTCTTGTGACACAGGGTCTAGCCACAGGATGCATTATTTTGCTAACTTCTGGTGGTAAAAACTCTCGCATATTGGAATTTCAGGAAGAGTTTTTCTTTATGTATCTCCTTCCGCCAATAATCTTCAATGCTGGGTATGTATCTTCCTACTTTTAGATTTAAATGGATCGGTACCGTTTGATGCCACAATTAGAAGCCTCTGATTTGGTCATATAGCCTCTTAAGTCTTAACTTAGACTTTTGGTTTCACTGCAATATTATTACCAGGTTTCAGGTGAAAAAGAAACAGTTTTTCCGCAATTTCATGACCATTACATTATTTGGAGCTATTGGTACTTTGATATCGTTTGCCATTATATCATACGGTATGTTCTGTATATACATTATTAAACTTCTGTTTTTGTTAATGATTGGTTTTGTATGCTCTAATAAGTTTAGAGAACACATAGCTTTGAGTTCTATTATCAGTAATAATTATTAAACTGCTTGCTCAAATCATGGGAAAATGTGTGAAAGTCTCTTTAGAGTGTATTTATGATACTTTCTTAGATTATTATCTCCATGATGAATTCTATGAATATCATCAAAATATTCAATTTGAATTACAATTTTTTTTTTAATTCAGGTGCAACACTCTTGTTCCCTAAACTGGACATTGGTTACCTCGAGATCAAGGACTATCTTGGTATTTATTCTTTTTTTTTTTCTCATGTTATGAAACTAATGTGGATAGTTTCTTTAGGTCTTCCAAATTGCTATATAGATGAATAGATTCCATATAGATATACAAAGCTGAGCTGCACATGTTGTATGTTTGTCTCTACTAAAATTCCCCTATTTTTTATGTGTTGTTGTGAGTAGCACTTGGAGCCATATTTTCTGCAACAGATTCTGTGTGCGCCTTACAGGTACATTCATTTTAAAAAAAAAATAAAAAAAATTTATGAGCTTCAAAGGAACTACATACTAAAAATATAACAATATTATGTCAACAGGTGCTTAATCAAGAAGAAACACCATTGTTGTACAGTCTAGTGTTTGGGGAGGGTGTGGTGAATGATGCCACATCTGTGGTACTTTTCAATGCCATCACCAATTATGACCTAAACAACATGAATGCTACTGAAGTTCTTACATTTGCTTACAGTTTCTTGACATTGTTTGTATTAAGCACGTTGTTGGGAGTTTTTGTAAGCTTCTTTAATCTATATGTTGATAGCTATTTTTTTTAATATTACCTTTATGTGATAGTTTTTCATTGCTTTTGTAGGTTGGGCTGCTATGTTCATTCATCATCAGAACATTATACTTTGGAAGGTATATGCTCAATCCATCTCTTGTTTCCAGCTTTCTTTAAGTAATCAAAATCCTAGTTTTGATGAATGTTGTCTCAAAACATTTCCAGGCATTCAACTGATCGTGAAATAGCTCTCATGATGCTCATGGCTTACCTCTCATACATTACAGCTGAAGTAAGCATATTCCATATTTCCATTTTCACCACACCAGTCAAATCTCAAAGAGTAACTTAATTTGTTGATATATATTATATATCTCCAGATGTTTGAATTAAGCGGAATCCTTACAGTATTCTTTTGTGGGATTGTAATGTCACACTACGCATGGCATAACATCACTTTGAATTCACAAGTAACCACAAAGTAAGTGTGTAACCATAATCATAATCATATCCAAATCCAAACTCTCTTAAAATTGCTCAAGTATTTATTCACTCACCTAATATCGACTGCAGGCATACTTTTGCCACAATGTCATATATATCTGAAGTGTTTATCTTCCTGTATGTTGGAATGGACTCGCTAGATATTGAAAAATGGAGGTTCATAGAGGATAGGTAACTAAACTAACTACCACTAGCACTGTAAACAACTTTATTTGTTTATCCTATCCAATGAACATTTTGAAACCAAAGTCTTAATTGATACAGCCCTGGAAAATCATTTAGTGCAAGTGGTATACTGGTTGGGTTGATTATGGTTGGAAGGGCAGCTTTTGTGTTCCCTCTGTCATTATTATCCAACTTTATTCGAAAAAATAGGAACGAAAAGATCAAGATTAAACAGCAAGTTACAGTTTGGTGGGCTGGTCTCATGCGAGGCGCTGTATCTGTAGCACTTGCTTATAAAAAGGTAAAAAAAAAAAAAAAAAATCAATTAAGTATGTAATTTTTTGTATACTAATTAACTACATTTGATGTCAGTAGTTTACTGGATCCGGGCAAACTATTCAGCCTGCAAATGCGCTGTTGATCACCAGCACCATTACTGTTGTTCTTTTCAGTACAGTGGTAAGCATTGAAAATCATGTAAATATAATTTGGTGAGAAACATTTAACTAATTGATGAAAGTGTAGGTATTTGGATTGCTAACAAAGCCGATTATAAGATGGTTGTTACCAGATGAAACAGACCCATCTACTCCAAACTCATCAAGTAGTATGCCACTTCTACAAAACGGGCAAGGGCATGGGCATGGGCATGACCCTGACCATGAAGAAGACGGAAATGAAAATAGGCCGAGTCTAAAGCGGCGTCAAAACATGGTTCATCAGTATTGGAGAAAGTTTGATGATGCGTTTATGCGCCCTGTTTTTGGGGGTAGAGGCTTTGTGTCCCAAGCCACCGGGACCCGCGACATGGGTGTCATCCATTGATGCGGGCTACCACTATGGACTCTGGACTATGTTGATGTACATAATTGGCTTCGTTGGATTGGTTTTATAGTTTTGGTACAGATATATTTACGTGTTTTCGGTTGTATTATAATTATATACTTTTAAGGGGTTAAAAAGCATTATAGAGTAAAAAAAAAGGGTAGATAGATGTATTGTGTTGGGGTTCTTTATCGATCGTCTAACTGCCAACATGCTAACAGCCTAACATAAGAGATGTAAATCGGAATGTCAACTAGAACATGGAAGATTGGAAGGTTTCGACTTCTTATACATCAAAAAGTGTCAAAATGGAAGCTTCGTGAAAAAGTATAAGTATAATTTCGTGAAATGTAGAAAGGCTACTTATTGTTAATATATATATATATATATATATATATATATAT